CAGGCCCAGTGGCCATGGCCCACGGGCCCAGCCGCTCCGCGGCATGTGGGATCCTCCCAGACCGGGGCACGAACCCGTGTCCCCTGCATCAGCAGGCAGACTCTCAACCACTGCGCCACCAGGGAAGCCCGGTATGTTTATATTTTAGAAGAAAGGAAGACCGTGGCCCATAGTCTCTCCCCACCTATCCCACATTGGCCCTTGTGTGGAAAAGGTAGGTAACTATTGACTTTGGCTGTGGAAGGAGATGGGGAAGATATTTTAGTACCAGGAGAGAAACTCTGAATCATAATTGTAGCAATCATACAATTTTAGCTGTCTTGTCCCGTACGGCCACATGTGACTCGAGCACCGGAAATGTGGCTGGTCCAAATTGCGACGTGCTATGAAGTTTCAAAACACCCATATTTTGAAGACTTAGTACCAAAAGAATGACATGTTGAAATAATAATGTTTAGCTCTATGAGGTTAAATAAATACATTTAAAATTAATTTTACCAGTTTCGTTTTTACTTTTTGGTGTGGCTGCTAGAAAATTTAAGCATGTTACATGTGGCTCACATTGTGGCTTGAGTGATGTTTCTGTTAGCACCAGCTCGGGTGACGGTGGAGGTGTTGCGTTTCTCGTAGTGCTGAGGGCTGGGGCCTCTAGAGAGTGCTGCAGGCAGACTGAGGTGTGTAGGGATTTGAACTTGGGGAGCATGTGCTTACATGCCTTTGTATAAGACCCAGGAAAAATCTGTATTGTAAATATTCCCTTCGTAGCACATCTAAAAGAAATAGTATTAAAAATCTGCAGCACATTCTGTTGTCTTAAAGTCTTTCCCCTGTGTTACCTTAGGTGGACGCAGCTACTGCTCATGCTTGTGGAGGCTGTTCTTCTTCCTTTAGGTGGCTGCAGCTGTGTCTAAACTGGATGTATGTTTTGCGTGTTTGCTGCAAGACTGGAGCACGCAAGGAAGTATTTAGGGTCTGGGATCTTGGGGATTGAAGTGGGCCAGTTACGAAATGGCACACCAGAGGATGGCTTCGCAGGTGTGCGGCCTGTAGTCCCACGGGGCCCACACCCAGAAGCGTTAGCTTTCAGGCTCAACGTTGCTGTCTTGAGATTCTTCATAACCTTTGAATCTCTTTTTGAATCTTTGAACCTTGTGCCCTGGGCTGGCCATTCCTGGATACAGGTTTTCCATCATTGATAGCAGTTTGCAGACTTGGGCTTTATAGAGTACAGTTTACCCCACTTGGATAGAAAATTGCCAAAATTAGGCAGTTAGTACGTATGAATAGGGGATTTTGTATTTTAAACTCATTAAAGTTCTTCTTTGTCATTTCCACAGTTTCCTTCTCATTTGTAGGCAGGACCATCAGCAGTTTCTCTCTCCAAAGCTCTCTAATAGTTTACCTTTTAGTGTGTTCATGGTGTCATTTTTTCTGGCCTCTGTTGGAAAGTGTTATGTTTTGCTTCTGTTATGTTGAAGGAAAACCCACTAATACCAGCTTGTCCACAGGGAGTTTCTGAAATAAATAACAGTCACGTGTTGGTATAGTAGGCTTTTCCTCTGTTTCTCATGGTTGCACGATTATTTTGAATATACTTATTGCAGTTTATTACAAATGATCAGCAATGGTTTAAACCCAGGACAGCAGCAGCATCTGAGGACTTGCTAGAGGTGCAGAATCTCGGGCCTGATCCCTGCTTTCCTGAATCAGAATCTGAGACTGTGTTTTAATAAGACCCCATGGAAGTTCGGTAGCACTGGGTTTAAAGCTCACTTGACTTCAAGGGGGTGGTATGTTGATTACACAGAAGCTTCCAGGTGCTGAGTGCCGGTATGTCTCAGCCACCAGACCGGGCCTTTCTTATCTACTCACAGCCAGTTTACTTGTTTGAGGATATTGGGGCTTAGAGAGGTGAAGTGGTTTTCCTGAGGCCTCAGTGCCAGGCAGTTGTGGAGCCAGCATTGGAATCCAGTATGTTGAGATGCTTAAGAGTCCTAGGAGAAAATGATGTTTATTTGATGGAAAGCAAGTGGTTGTAGGTGGTTTACATAAACCACATTTGGGCCCCGTTGAATATACTCTACCAGCAGAGCCTTGGCAGATTCTGAGAGGGACTGACGTCCTTCTCAAACCTCTTGCACGTGATTTAACCACATCACCATACCAGGTCCCATGTCATAGAGACAAGGTAGCACCTTTTGTTTCAGAAACAAAGTGTCACTGCTTAACTGCTTTTGAAATAAAGGTACTGTGGCCCAGGTTTTGCTTCCAAGAAGGACGATATTTTATTAATTTCACAGGACCCTTAATTAAAGCAGTTGATCTATGACGAGTAGATTTATGGATCCTTTGGTCCTATTTTATGCATATATGGTGATAATTTTCACTTGTGTCTTCAGTTATGAGGAAGGCGGAGCATAGCAGAGGTTGTCCTCTGTGGCATCAAGTAACAGTTAACTCCTGCCCACATACTCTTCAGCCCTTGTGGAGAAAACCCTATTTTCAAGGTGCCTCATCCAATTTATAAAACAATTCTAGGATTTTGCAGAAAGATGGAGGGTAGTTTGCTTTTACCATTTCTCTCCTTGTCAGTATTGATTTAAAAGCCTGTGAATTGGTTTACTGTAAGAAAGTGTATTCCCTCTTATCCCTAAATCCTGTGGAAGTATACCTAGGTTAAGAATTTTAAAGTGTATTTTTGTTTACTAAAAGTGAGCTCTTGAAGTTCTGACTTTTTTCAGTTTCTTGAGTATCTTAGTTACATTTTTTAAAGGACTCCATTTACCCCAGGGCCCTGGGCAGTTGAACTTTGTAACAGTTAGTTCATACCTAGCTTGATTTTACTTCAAAGGGCACAGATAGAAGTAGGGCCAAGCCAGGGGTAACTAATTTACCAGTGCTGTTCATTTCCAATCAATTTGCGGTTTGGCTAAAAGGTAGAATACATAATGTTTAAGAGTCTACTGTGGTTATATTTTATTTTTAAGTCGGTAGTATACCTACCCAATTTAAAGAAAATGCACTGTGGAAATGTATATTTTAAGGTGTTCTGATTTGAAAAATGCTACTCTAATTTTGGATGGTGGAAAGCAAAAGGAGTTAGGCATTTTAAAACAGATAGTTGCTCAAGAATTCCTTTTCTTGTGTATAATAAGTATAATAACACATGATGTCATGGGCTCAGGAGTTTGGAGGAGCTGGTTGGTCAGGTCGGCCATCCTGCTGGAATACAGACCAGGTGTGTATGATGGCTCATCGTAACCCGGCCTAGGACAGGCTCTCAGATCGGCAGGCAGCGATCTTCCTCGTGGTGATTTGGGGGTGCAGACACCTTCCTTTTGGGCTCTGCAGTCCCTTGGGGCCTTTTTGGTCATCAACATCCAGCCAGATGCCGGGGGGAGCACATGGAGGTTTTTATGGCTCACAGTACATTGGAGAAAACTTTGTAATGTGGCCATATCTACCTGCCCGAGAAGTTGGGGACATGGTCTAGGTGAGTGCCTAAGGAAGGGAGAGAATGGATCTGGTAGACAGTCCCGCCTGACACCACGTGGCTCCGCCCCTCCGGGCAGGCTGTGAGGACTGTGGGGGACATGCCCGTGAGGGTTCAGAGATGGCAATAAGGAATGTGTTAGTCAGCACTCTATTTCCTCTTGAGCAAGGGATGCTAAACTTTTTCTGCAAAGTACCAGATAGTAAATATGCAGGCCACACATGGTCACTGTCACATATGCTTCTCTTAAACAACCCTTTAAAATTATCAAAGCCATTCTTAGCTTTCAGTCTGTGGGCTGGATTTGGTCTGTGGGCCGAAGTTTGCCAACACTTGTTATTTCATCACCACCAATTATCAGTTTTCTCTGTAAATCAGTATATGATGAGTTACCTTTATAAGGTTAAAATTTTGGAAGTCAGTTTTTAATTGAGGTAGATAATGTGATTATATCTTGATCCATATTTTAGAAGTATGACTTTGGTTTGTAGATGTTTATAGTTTTCAGTTGATGAATATGAGTGTATATCTTGTTTATAACTAGCCAGTAGTAAGGGCTTGATATCAGATTTGCTTTTGTGGTTTATTAGTACTTTTCATTATACTTTGCCTTTATATGTGGGATTACAAAAAAATGAAAAGACATGCTACTTTAAATGAGACCTTTTTTTTTGAAGACTTAAGGCTAAATTATTAACTGTGTCCAGTTTTCTCACTTCAAGTGGAGAGACCATTAGATTAGCAGAAATTCGGCTTATAGACCAAAATAAGGACATACTGACCTGATACCAGTGGGACGTGGGAAGGTATTTGAATGTCACTAATGGCTTTTCAGTCAGTGACTTTGCTGAAGTATTTAAAATAAGGACAGTGAACTCTTTTGTCTGTAGACATCCTAGGATCGAATTTTCCGTGATCAACTTTGAAGACGGTGAATTATTGTTCTTTAAGGTCATCTTGCTACAGTTTTTTGTTTCTTTGTTAAGAATGACATAGGTTTTACCATTTTATGGCTTTCAGATTTTCAGCTGTGAAAGTGCTGTCAGTGGCTAAAAGTTCTGGTTCCTGGTGGTTATTTATTTAATGTTGTAATATCCTGAAGAGTACCATGTACTTAGGTCTCGATACTTGTCATTTGTTACTGAAGATACTAGTTCTGTGTAAGAATGTGTGTTTCACCCTGAAGAAAGGGTTTATTTTCTTCCTTTCCCGGCACTAAATTCTTAAAGTATGGATGGGTTAATTTTGCAGGTTAAAATCATTCCAGGTTTTATCATTCTTTGAGCATTTTCAAGTCAAAATTCTTTGTTATCAATAAAAATATTTTCTGAGAAGGAAAAAATCTTGCCAGTTTTACTTATTTAGAAAGTATTTTATAGATTCGACATGGAACTTGTTTTTCTTATGTGACCCAAGTTGACATTTTAGACTAAAACTAGATGGAAATTTGAAAAATTAATATGTGAAGTTGAGATTGTATTTGAAATACTCTCTGCATTTTGTTTAGAGCAGCATGTTTTGGAAATTTGATCTTCACTCATCATCCCACATAGACACACTTCTAGAAAGAGAAGATGTAACACTGAAGGAGTTGATGGATGAGGAAGATGTTTTACAAGAATGTAAAGCTCAGAACCGCAAACTTATAGAGTTCCTGTTAAAAGCAGAATGTCTCGAAGATTTAGTCTCATTCATTATTGAAGAACCACCTCAAGACATGGATGAAAAGATCAGATACAAGTAAGAAAATTCAATCTTCTCTTTAGGGTGGGGCTGAAGTGAAGTGGGGGGTAGGGTATATTATCGTCCTTGTTGTCTAGCAGCTCTGCAGGGCTGCCGTAGACCAGTTACAGAATGTTAACATGTCAAGAGCAACAGGCTCAGTGGAGCAAACAATCTATTCTAGAACTAAGTCCAGTGAAATCACAGGATTTTTAAAGTGAATGTTCTAAATTTTGGCCAAAAGGTTTTGTCTAAGGGCAAGGTGCATTATAAACAGTGATAAAGTTTCCTAAAATAGTAAGACAATCCAAGTAAGTATTTTCTCTTTTTTTGCAAATAGGAAGACAGAGATGATGTGACTACTCAAGATCACACAGCACATCTGGGCCAGAGCTTGTTTTATGAACAGCGCTGCTGATTAAATAAATTCTGACCTTTTGTTAACTGAAAATAAGGGTATGGGTCTTGGTGAGCATTACTGTAGCTAAATTTAAGCAGCTAAGACCTTGGATAACTGCAGTGGATGTTATCTACTTCACCACTGGTGTCGCCAGCTTACGACACTTTGTATTCGGATCCCTGGAAACTCTGCGAATATTCCATATGTATTTAAAGTGTTGGGGTATCAGTTAGTTACTTTTCCATCTCCAACTCTATTGAAATATTTGTTCCCCCTCTCTGCCTGAAAATAGAACCAATTCAGGAACAAAACAAAAAGTCATTGATTAAGCATTAAATAAACTTAATGGAATAGGAAGAATTATGGCCTACAGTAGATTCTCCTTTGCCCTTTTTCCCCCAGTCTGTCCCCCTTTTCAGATATCCTTTCATTTCTTTGTGGGGAGAGTTTTGCTGTCAGAGGAATAATACTTAGTAATGCTTCCAAGTTCTCATGGCTTGGATCTTCAAGGAAGTCATGTTCTCTGCCAGCCATTAAGGTTGACAACTAGCATTGCAGCACGTCTCCACTCAGAGAGCAGTACCTTAGAAAAGAAAAGGACAGAAATTTGGCAGGAATACCAGTGTACTCCTTTCGCCCCAAAGATAGATACTTTGCTACTTTGGAATTCCCTTCACAGTGAACCAGCATGTGTGGATGCTGCTTGTCGTGGGGCTTATCCTGGCTGGAGGCAGCATGGTGTGGGCTTTGTATCAGGCCCACCCGGATGGGTGTAGCCCTCTCCTGGAAGCCCTGAGAAGTTGAACAAGAGGCTGACCCTTCTTGGGTCTGTTTTCTCACATGCTGAGTGAAGCGAATACTTCTTTAACTGGAGAAGAGTAAGCAAGCCTTGTGGAAATGGCTTATTTTACCAAAAAGTAGTCATGGCATCTGTTGTATTGCCATGCCAGCGCCTTTTGTGCTGCCTTTGAGGTTGAGAGAGCAGGTGTGTTTCCCTGGGCACGCAGCCTTCTGGTTGGCACCATTTCGAGGGAGCATGGCTTGAGCTGAGCAGAGCAGTTCTCTGCTGCACTTCTGGCCTGGACAGAGCCACCAGCTGTGGTGACATACACAGAGCCGGATAACTCGGACAGCTGGATTAGCACAGAGCGATTTTTCAGAGGGGATCTGAAAGCTTCTCTGGGTTAAGGTTGACTATAGTCATCTAAGGAAATTTAGACTAGTGCTTTTTAGTTTACGGATGATGGGGTGATTGCTGTGGTTTGTGAAGTTCGTAACTGCGTATCAGTTACACATGTGGATTGAACCCATCACTTTTAATCCAGTGATCATACACAAGGTGTTAAACGTTTGTCATTTTTACACTAACTTTTTAATCTTAATGACAGATACCTCCGTTTTAAATAATTTAGCAGAAATCTGAACAGAACTTTAAAAATAGGTCCTTAAGTAGTAGTGTAAACCCAAAAGCTGAGATGCTGTTGATCGGGTCAGGGTTCCCACAGAGGGACTTCAGAGGCAAGAGGAGAACCCGGAGGAGTGCTCCCCTCATTGTCAGGGGAGGCCAGGCTTCAGGACGGGGAGATGGGACAGGGGGCCCAGGGGATCCAGGGGCTGTGCTGACAGGCCAGGTAACCATTGGCATTTACAGCGTGGAGCACATGGGCCCCTTCAGTGCAGGTTCTCCAGGTTGGTGGACACGGAAGCCCTGCTGCAGTGCTTCTGAGGAAGAACTGGAGACAAAGCAGAGAGTTCTTTCAAGTAGTTCCCTGGAAAAGGAGCAGAGAGAGAAAGTGGGAGCTACAGGCAGATGTGGAGCCAGGAGAGGTGTGGTGTTTGTTTTTTTTCAAAGATGCGAGAAATAGCGGTGTGTTTATGTGCTGGTGAGGGTGATGCAGCGCAGGGGGAAACGGGGCTGGTGTGGAGGGAGCGGGAGGTCTCGTGATGTTCTGTGCTGGCCTCGGTCGAGAAGACAGTAGGGTGGCTTCATAGTGGGAGGAGGAAGGGGACCGGCTGCAGGTCAGGGGTACGGTTGGGCTGGGCTCTCTTCCTATCGCTTCTGTGCAGCTGAGGTCAGAGGGTGGGGTGGGGCTGGAGAGGCCTTGCTGAGGGGTGGCATCGAGGAGGTCTTGGGGTGTTTCAGAAGCTTGTTTAATCTTAGGGAGGTAGGGAGGGAGAGTGAGAGTAGCCCCAGCCTGTTCTGAACCAGAACTTTGAGGCTTTGTGTTTGTGCCTGGGCCCCCACGAGCCTGCTTCTTGAGCTCAGTCAGACCTCTAGGTCACCGGTGGAGAAACAGGTGAAAATTTTAAAAGCTGCCCACGCGTTCTTCTGGACCTTCTGCATCAGAATTCTGAGACTACTCCCTACACACTGGCCTGTGGCCGGAGCTGGCGTCTCCAGCTTTTCCCGGCACTTTGCCAGCAGCTTCCAAATTGGGGCAGTTGGGCTGACTCCGCCACCACCCCCGCAACCCCAGCCTCGTTGCAGCGTTCAGGCAGTTTTATGAAGTAGAAGAAAAAGGGGAATTAAGACAGCTAGCATTTATTTATTCCAGGCCTCCTTCTCAGTATTTTGTATGTATTATTCTCCCCCGTGAGGTAAGGACTGTTGTCTTAATATTGCATCCTTGGAAACTGAGGCCCAGAGAAGGTAAGTAACGTGCCTGAGGTCATACAGCTTGTAAAGTGGTGGAGACAGGTTCTGAGCCTAGGTGGTGTGACTCCAGAAGCCACACCTGTCGCCATTGCTTGCTCCTGCCTCCGGCACTTTGGTGACTTTATATTATGGGGTCTTTGAGTCCATGTGTTCTATAAAGTGAGGAAGGCTTTAATTTGATTGAGCCAAAGCCTCCGGAAGACAGCAATTTGATAATGTGATCTTTGGGGATATTCTCATACGGTTCAGTGTTCCTCCCTCATGGCAGACCTGCTAGGTGCTGCAGCTTCTGGTCTGTTGCCAGTTGCTTCTCAAGCCAGTGGTCTCCAAAGAGGCAGCTGCTTGCTTGTCTTGGATGCCTCAGGGGTGCTGCATGGGTTCCCACCACACCCTTTACCCCTCTCTTTTGCCATATAGCTGCTTCTGGCTGTTTTGTCACCTCCCTGTCCTGATCAGCATTTGAGCTTGCCACTCCCTGCTACTCACCTGGGAGGGATAAAGAGCAGAGAGGTGAACGGTGGGAGGGGGAGAGTGTAGTCTGGACGGGCCTTGGAGTCTCCACTGTTGCTCTGAGAACAGATGAGAAGTCATTTGTAGTAAAAGAAGTGAGTGGAGAAAATGCATCTACTGCCTACTTTTCAGAGAGTGCTCTTGCGCTCAGGGGCAAACGTGCTTTAGGGGTACAGGCATTTCTAGGGCTGTGGGGCCTGGGGAAGAGGACTGTGTCCCACAGCAGTGAGATCTGTTGGTGGGCTGATCCCAGAAGATCCTGGAAGACTGGTGTGGAGAGCTCTGTATACGGTAACTCAGGCCATGTCCTGTTCTCTCCTGAGTGTATCAGAATGTTTATTCTCTTAACGTGTCATATGGACTGAACACTTGATAAGCCCAGCTTTCTAACTCCAGTTACAACCCATCTGAGAATACAGGCAGCCTGTCCAGGAACCTAAATGTGTCTTGAATAGTTAAGGGTGCTGTGTGCAGTGCAGTTTCCTGGAAATGGGCGTCCCCCGCGGTTGTCCTATGAGCTGTGCTGCTTTGCATGCCGGAGCAGGCTGCTGAGGGCTGCGCCCCCAAGGCTTTGACCTGCCCCATCGCGCCTCCTCCTCTGAGGAGGCCCCGCCCTTGCCTCCTGAGTCCCAGGTGTGCTCTAGTTTTGTTGGGTTAAAGCTTGGTTTAGAAACCATTTTTTAGACACAGAAGAAAAATCACTTTATAATCTCTCTAGATTAAATTGAACAGAATGGATTGAAATTATTTTCTAATTCCCAGAAGATGACTGTTTATTTTTCACAGAGTTTTAGGAAACCTTTCTGATTTGCATTTTACTTTATGTAATTAAACTGTTAATACAGATGATGATATAAGTATCCTGTTCTTCTAGGTATCCAAATATATCTTGTGAGTTGCTCACTTCTGATGTCTCCCAAATGAATGATAGACTGGGAGAAGATGAATCCTTGCTAATGAAATTGTATAGCTTCCTCCTAAACGATTCCCCCTTGAACCCACTACTTGCCAGTTTCTTCAGCAAGGTGCTAAGTATTCTTATCAGCAGAAAACCAGAACAGGTAAATATTGTTTTCCAAAAAGGTAAGTATTAGGGCTGATCATCCCCCTGAGATGATCCCCCAGTAATTTTGTTGCTTCAGTGTTCTGAGTTTGCCTTAAATCCAGGTTCTGTAAAAGGATATATTTTTAAACCTTAAGCATTTTAAATGCTTGCTGACTTAACACTGACTTACTCATTAATGAATACATTCTAATTTGACCTCTTCTTTTCTGAGTACCTCACATCCCAGTTTTTCAGTATACTTTGGCTTCCTCTTTTGACAAGTGGTTGGAAGCATGAGAGTGTTGGGGTCCATTTGTGAGGATAGTGTGAGGAGGGTGCACACTGAGTGGTTGGTGTGTGGGTGGCATCTTAGTGACTGTGGTAAAGTAACAGTTTACTTATTTTTTCTTTCCCTTAAGGATGATCACAGGTGAAACTTAAAAAGCTTTCCCATAAATGCAATTGATGGTTAGTTTATACAGATGGTGATTGTTTCTATTTTGACTCCACTCAAAAACTTGAGCCATCTAGGTACTGACTGTCATGTGCGTACACACGGAGCTCTGCTGCTCCTGTCCGGTAGGGCTTAGCAGGAGCTCATTCCTCACTGTTAACACCAGGAACCTCTTCCCCCGCTTCCTCCTCTTCCTTCGTTGTCGTGGTCATCTTCTTTGTGGTGTTGTCCATCTGTGTTCCCACATCCCGCCCCCCGCC